CAGCTGCCAACTCCTTGTGTGACAGTTCACACTTTCCATCTCTCACAGGGTAAACTTGATCCTCTTAGAACTCAAGCAGCTGTGTACCCTTAAAAAAATACTGCAATCACTGTATCTGATTCCGGTGTCCTGCATCTTGTATATACATTTTTACAATCTGGGGAGGGGAAGGGATATAACAAAATGCTTAAATAAGGACACAGGTTGACCCATTGTAACAATGTACAAGACACTATGTAGAAAACCAACTTTACAATTTCATTGGTGGGGGGAGGGAGGGAAGGGATGGTAGGGGAAAAACAAAGGAGGAGGCAACACTGCTCAATAGGAAATGTACTCATTACCCTACTCATGTAACTGTAACCCCTTTATACAGTATACTATAAAAATATATATGGAAAAAATACTGGAAACTGTTGGATGTGGCTGCTGCGTATCTGTAATGAGCATTGAGGAGGCTGGGGCAGGAGGATCACTAGTTGGAGGATAGCCTGGTGTACACAGTGAGGCCCTGCCTCAAAAACTAAACCTAAACAAGAGCTAGAAACTGGGATCAATGACAGTCAGAATACTCCCAAATCCCTGTCCATGAGGAAAATATTATCTAGAAATGAAAGCAGGAAGTACACAGTACACAGATCTGTTTTCTAGATATCAAAGACCTTGGTTGGAAGTAGCCACAAGGCTAAGGTAGGGCAATTTCACCCCAGGGACCTGAGCACCTGGATGAACCCCTCCATAGGTAGCCTGAAGCCCATGCAGATGACAGGCTTGTCACCCCGTTAAACAGGCTCCAAGGAAAGGAGAAATGTTGAAGAGGGCAGTTGTAACTTGGAGCAAAAATCGGCCTAATTATTTGTGATTATATGTCATGTTTGTTAAGGGGCCCTCAAATGAGCCAACTGTTTGCTTTTGTAAAACAGAGCCAACTGCATTGTTCTTGTGACAATCGTAATCTCTGCACCCATAGACCAAGAGTTGTCCTCTGTTAAAACGACACTCGTGTAAGAGGAAGAAAGCAGCCACTGATACCGGGTGTGTGCGTCGGTGCTTTTAGAACTTTTATCCCCCACGAAGTTAAATGTTGGTAGAAAAGTTTTTATTTCTCCCCTAAAGAACACTGGTGTGATACTTTCTACTAAAAATAGAAAATACCACATCAGAAGGATATTAAAAGTTCACTGAAATTACTTTGGGCCAGGTACTTTCCATCTGTTAGCAGATTCAATATTCAAAGGAATATAAGCAGCTATTTCTACAGGTAAGGAAACCATGGCTATAAGAAACAGCACCTTTTTATCTCTGGGGGCTCAGGAAGTGGCTGAGCTGGGATTCCAGTCAAGGATGATTCCAGCCAAGTCTGTATAATATGGCTGATGATGGAGGGCTCTGGGGCCAGGGTGAATCAGGTCTGCCTCTCCCTAGCCCGAAACCATCTGGACTCTAAGCCCTTATCATTAGTCATAACTCTCAGGGGACTGGGGTAAGATTACTTCTGCCTTAGCCACACATGCTGCTCTTGGTTCTGGGGAAGCCATAGTTCCTCTTGATTCCTTTTGCCTGCTCTTGTCAAGCCCCCAAGGACTTCCCTCAGTAAACCCGAGTCCTGCCCACCTTCCAGAGAGGTCTGAAACAGGTCTTGTTCATACAAACTCTTCTCCCTTCCTTCTCTACGCAAGAGCTCACTGAGCAGGTACACAATGAAAAGAGGGAGTAGAAATAAAGGAATTGGAGAGCCTGGAATCGATCAGGTCTCCCTCCTAGGGGAGACACTTAAAAAAAAGTCCTTTTATTTAGCTATCAATATAGCTTTGAATCAAAGAAAGCTGCTAGCTCGAAATCAGAGAGCCCAGATGTTCAGTACAATAGAGTGTCTGCCTTTGAAGGCAAGTTGTAGAAAGTGAAGAGAGGGGCCAGGAGGAAGGGAGAAGCCCAGAACAAAATTGTGAGTTTTGTCTGTGCTTTACTGAACAAGAATACCTCATCTTCCATATAGGAGGTCATCTGAATGTGAAACCCAAGCCCTCAAACATCTCCCAATGTGCCCCCCAAAGCCTGTCAACTAACCACTTGTGGCAGAGGGATCTGAGCAGGTACACAGGGTGGGTGTGGGGAAGGACGGGGTAAGGAACAGGTGCCTCTATGTGGAGTACTAATAGAAGAATCCACTGATTCTTGAGACCCCACTGAGCTCTCTGGAGGCCTATCCATTAGGGTGTTAGGGAGTGGGGCTCAATCTTGTCTGAAAGGCTGGAGCACCCAGCTGACCTATAGACACAAGGCATCAGAGGCCAAATGGAATGACCATATTATGATCCTCAATCTATGATTCCTATAGAAGAGATGCAAAACGTGTGTTCCTTCTACAGTAAAAGCTCCCTGCTCTGCACAATGCCCAAGCATTGGGAGGGTCAGGAGAAATAAGACACTCAAGGTACTGAACTCAGTACAATCCGGTTGGAAGGGCAGTAGGTGGACATGGTTCTTGCTGTCATTGGTCGATGGCTGATGAGGAGGTAGCATCTGATTGAAGGGAGACACACAGCTAAGCTTCAGGATTTCTGTTCTCTGGGGCCTCTGCCAATTGTCGTCTTAGTGAGTGAGCCAGCTAGGTAAGGCCCCCATTGCTGGGCCGATTCTAAGGTGAGTTCTTAAATCTTTCTATTGTGGAAATGCTGTGCTTTGTACAGTTTCAAGAACTGTTTTCAGGGCTGGGAAGGTGGCTCAGTGGTAGAGCGCTTGTCTTGCATGCATGAGGCCCTGGATTTGATTCCTCAGTACCACATAAGCAAAAAGAAAAAAGCCCGAAGTGGCACTGTGGCTCAAGTGGTAGAGTGCTAGCCTTGAGCTGGAGCTGAGGGACAGCACCCTGGCCCAGAGTTCAGGCCCCACGACTGGACCCTCCCCCCCCCAAAAAAAAAGAAAAAAAACTGTTTTCAATCTCAAAAACTACAAATGGGCCCATCACCAGCGGCTCATCCTTATAATCTTAGCTATACAGGAGGCTGAGATCTAAGGCCTGGTCATCAGGAGCTGGACCTGGCTGATTTGCATCAAGGAACCTTACTATCTTCATCAGCACTTTCATGGCGCCTTAGGGGGAGGAGCTGGGGATCTTGGGGCATTTCTTACATGAAGATGGGTCTTATAGGTGTACCCCTGGCGCCAGAAAGTAGTTCTGGTCTTGTTGCCTGGCAACCAAGGATCTTGTCACAGCACCCAGCACAGACCTTGGTGGTGGTGTAATATCTGATAAGCCAGTTGGTCTTGCAAGACTCTTCTCGCCTGCCAACCCCAGGAGGCAGACACTGCTCTCCTGATCCTCACTCCCTATGTCCTCTACAGTCCGAGTGTGGTCAGAAAGAGAGACAGCCTGTCGTGAGAGGTGGCCAAGTTTATCTGTTCAGGTCACAAGCCTGGGGTCGGGTCTGTATAATGGGAGGTGTATTTTCCTTTGCTTCCTTCCCATGCTCAGAACTACCCCCAGAGCCACACCCCTCATCTCTCTGCAAGAAGCATGCTGTGGGCTGTCATCACACAGAAATGGAAGGCATGCCCTAGGAGTGTGAGGTCCTGCTCAGCAGCAGCAGGAGGGCTGGTATGAGGACACGCAGGGGACAGGGCTGTACAGGGCTTGTGCACTGTGGCTGCAGCTCCTGGAGGTCTGGAGGAGGGAGTACGGCTGGGCATGAATGGCAGGGGATGGTTTCAGGTACCAGGGACTCCTGGTACCAGTGGGAGCAATGCTGAAATTCTCAGCACCACCTGAGCGACAGTTCTCATCTCTCCAGCGGCATCTCTGTCAAGCATGGAAGCTGTCCAGCACACATTAGATGAACGGTCTGTATTTAATCAGCTAACATTATGTAAAGAGCTCACGTCACATACAACCTCATGAAACACCCGGGTGTGCAGGAACCTGTGAAAGGGGAGGACCAAACATTTGTTTTCTCCTCCAGGCTGGCATCCTGAGGCTGGCATCCTGAGGGGGCCTCTGGGGGCCTCAATCCTCGTGACCATGGGTACCTGACTGACAGGTGCTGAATCCTGAGCAGGGAGTAGCTCCTTTCTAGCCTTCCCTGACAACTAAATAAATGGTTCACAGTCCTGGTGTGTGCAGGTACACACCAGGGAAATAAATGATCCAATGAGGCCTGCCTTAGGGTTCATGGAGCTAGGAACAGAGCAGTTAGGTGTGTAAGACTCTAGTTGCTCTGAGGGACAATGAGAGGGAGAGAGGGAGGGAGAAAGGGAAGGAGGGAGAGAAGAAGGGCGAGAGGAAGGAAGGAAGGAAGGAAGGAAGGAAGGAAGGAAGGAAGGAAGGAAGGGGGGAGTGGGGCTAATGGAAGGAAAGGGAGAAAAGAAGGGAGGGGGAGGGAGGGGGAGAAAGGGGAGGGAGGGGGAGGGAGGGAGAGAGAATAAGAAATCATCAGCCAGCGGAGAACACCTGAGGCACAGGTAGCTCTGGACGCTGGGAGGAAGCAATACCAGCTGGGGTTTTCTCTGGTGTCACCCCTGGGAGGCAGCAGAGCTGGGTGAGGGCCAAGGGGCCAAAAGGGCTGCAGAAAGGTCATTCGGCATGGGTAGGACTCATCTTTCCATCCATCTCCTCCCAGAGCCGGGCAAGGTATCCAACACAAAGCTGCTGCAAACAAGGTGAACACCGGACAAACATTCCCAGAGGCCAGTGGAGTCCGGAACTCAAAAACCTGGCAAAAGAGAACACAACATCAGAGGGCAAAGGAAAGCACGGTGGTGGGGGTGGGTAAGCAGAACCAGGGCTGCTGGGAGGGTGGTCAAGGTTGGAAGCTCCGTGCTGGTTCCCAGAAAGTTCTGGCTGGCTCCAGAAGTGGTCATGGGAGAGATGTGGGCACATCTGAGAAACCTGCCCCACTTTGGGGGACCCTCCAGGGCTGTAGACAGGAATATCTGGGGGACCCTCCAGGGCTGTAGACAGGAATAGGCTAGCCCAGCCTCCACGGAGCTCCTGGTACTCACTGTCAACGCTGATCCTCTAGCAGCTCAAGGAGCATTTCCTCGGTGCCTTGGAACTAAGTGGGGGAAGGAGACACACACACACACAGGATGTGATCAGACCCCAGCCTTGTTAGGCCCAGCCCTGCCTTCTCAGGCCTGGAGTAGGTGATGCCCGGGTGAGTCACGGCCCTCCCCATCCACCTAGCCTGTCACTGCCATCATATGGGGCTTCCCGCCCCACAGCTTGTAGTGGACAGCCAGTCCTCACTTCTAGCTCTTCTCCAATCCAGCACTTTCCAGGTCAGTTGCCGACCCCTCCCTGTTATCTTACTTTTGGTACTGGGATGGAGGGGAACACATCTAGCATAAGGGTGGGGGGTCGGGGGCAGACACCAATCACCCGCCCAGTCCCTGGGGAAAGCCGTGCTTGCCTTGATGTGGTACACGATGCGCCAGTACCTGGAATCTATGCTTTTGTATCTATTTTCGGGGTACAGCTGATACATTAGAGGCAGCGGGAATGGGGCCAGCTGGTTGGGGCTCATAGGCACCCCCAAGGGGATGTCCTTTTGGCGCATGATCACAAAGGAGACATTTTCATTCTGCAGGGGAAGATAACAGTACACCTTAAGGTTCCACCCACTAAGCCCAGGCACCAGTGGACTGGGCCATTAGGGAGGTGCTGGACTAACGCGACACCTGCCAAGCAGATTCTGGTGATCAGCCCTCTTGGTGTCAGCTCTTTCTCAGAGACACGGCTGGGCCTGCATGGGTCCAGACACTCCCATAGTAGCCACCGACTTTTTTTTTTTTTGTTGGTTGTGGGGCCTGAACTCTGGGCCTGGGCACTGTCCCTCAGCTCTTTAGCTCAAGGCTAGTACTCTACCATTTGAGCCACAGTGCCACTTCCCGCTTTTTTCTGTTTATGAGGTACTGAGGAATCTAACCCAGGGCCTCATGCATGCAAGGCAAGCACTCTACCACCTTCCCAGCCCACCGACTGCCTACTTTTTAGGCCAAGCCTCCAGTTCTTGTTCAAGTTGCTGTGGATTTTTTTCTTGACTTATTTTACTCCATTTCCTTTTTTTTTTTAAATAAAAAAAGGTCAGGTACTGGGTGGCACATGCCTATAATCCTAGCTGTTCAGGAGACTGAGATCTGAGGATTGAAGCTCAAAGCCAGCTCAGACAGGAAACTCCCAGAGACGTCTTTCCAGTTAACACTCCACCCCCAACCACCACCAAAACAAAGGGTTAGAAGTAGAGCTGTGATTCAAGGTTTAGAGCTCTAGCCTTCAGTGAAAAAGCTGAGGGACAGTGCCCAGAACCTGAGTTCAAGCAACAGTATCAGTAGCAAACAAAACAAGAAAAACTAAAAAAAAACAACAGTATAGAATGAAGATAGAATGGAGACCAGTGTCATCAAGAGCTGAAAATGAGTTTCATCCACTAGTTCAAGGGAAATAAAATTCTGTAAATACAAGTCTACAATATACCTAAAGAGCATACCCAGCAAGGCCCAGAAGGATTGCACTTATAAAAGATGGCAAGTTCAAACAAGGGCTCTGAGGGGTCCTGCCTGATCATCCCTCACCAAGACCACCTCTCCTCCAGAGCCTTCTCTATGCCATTTACCACAACCCACCATCAGCTGTTTTCTTGGCTTTTCTCCACCAGCAGTGCATTTGCAAGTAGGAAGGATTCTATCCCGCTATTCCAAATCCCCACAAGCTAGCTAGAATGACACTCCGCACATAAATGACGCACTCCTATTTATCTAACAACTATTCTTCCGAAAACGAAAATAGTTTTGTAATTTTCTCAAATGATAAGACTGTGGTGAGCTCAAATAGTAAAATTCTTTTTTTAGGGGGGGGTCTGAACTCTGGGCCTGGGGGCGCTGTCCCTCAGCTCTTCAGCTCAAGGCTAGCACTCTACCACTTGAGCCACAGCGCCACTTCCAGCTTTTTTTTCTTTTTGCTTATGTGGTGCTGAGGAATCAAACCCAGGGCCTCAGGCATGCAAGGCAAGCGCTCTACCACGGAGCCACCTTCCCAGCCCTCAAGTAGTAAGATTAAATCAAAGCCCAACAAAACAAGCACCAAGAAATGGAGTACTTGAGGTGGGTGGAGCTAAGAGAGCAGTGGACAGATGAGGGCGGGAAAACGGGAGAATGCAGTCAGTAATTCATTGAATATGCTACAAAACTAAGAAAAGGGGTGGGTCAAAGGATGATACAAATCAAGATGCATTATATTCATAAACTGCTTTGTTAAATGGCACAAAAGTTCAATACATACCTTACAAATTAAGAAAAATGCCAGGCCCGCCTGCAATTCTAGCTAGTCAGGAGGCTGAGCTCTGAAGATCATGGTTCAGAGCCAACCCAGGCAGGAAAGTCTGTGGGACTCTTATCTCTAGTTAACCACCAGAAAACTGAAGTGGTGCTGTGGCCTCTAAGTGGTAGAGCACTAGCCTTGAGCCAAGAAAACCTCCGGGATATTGCTCAGGCCCCCACTTCAAGCCCCATGACCAACCAAAAAAGAAAGAAAAAAGAAAAAGTGAGGGAAGGGGTGGGCTGAGAAGGATGGTAGGTGGATGAGACTATTCAAAGAAATAATTGAGCAAGGCATGCTGTATTCACAAACTGCCTTGAATAGCAGCTCCTCTGTATAACTTTTAATAAAAATATTTTAAAATATTCAGATCATAAAATGTAAGCATGGTGGAACTGACCATCCTGTTGTACAGTCTCCCCTGTCCTTCAACTGTTTATATAGGTTTTTTATCACTTATTCATTAACTTAAGAAAATCCTTATTTACTAAGAATACTGGTTCTTTCAAACTTGAGAGACAGATCCTATCCCTGTCAACTAATGGATAGTTTTTCATGTATCCTTTATTGTGGAAGAAAAAAAAGTCTGTCTGCAGGTTTTGTTACAAAGATATTTCCCAACTAGAGATATCATCTACATTTTCTTCAGACTTCAAAAAGTAAATATTTAACTTGATTTCCTTTTCTTTTTAGTTGTGGATGGAGGATTTTATTGTGGCATTTCCATACATGCATACAATGTATCCTGATCAACCACACCCGCTCTGTTTCTCTCTCCCATTCATTCCAATCCCCAACCCCAAACCATTTCCACTGATTCTTTCTTCTATTTTCACACTTGGAAACTAGTTTGTCCAGATTCATCCATCCTCCTGGTTAGCCCTCCCCTCTCACTAACAACCTCTGCCCCCCCCCCAGGAGGGAGGGGGCAGTACTCTTTCAGGGCTTTCTAAAAGGCTGATGTAGTACTGAGTAGCCACAATGCCAGCCCTTTAACCTGATCTTTAAAATGTATGTAAAATTTTAAAAATGGCAAGAGTGTAAACATTTATATGGTAGTTAACTGACTGACAGTCCCAAGTGCCACAAGTTCTTCCTCAGCCTCAGTTTCCCCATCCCCACAGCAGAGACAAGAGTTCACACCCAACTACTACTGTTTGCTATTAAATCACTGAACATTCTAACAGCATCTTCGCATCTTTTGTGTTTGTGCTAGTACTGGCACAAACAAAGTACAGATTTCTGGGCCTGCCTAAGGAGTCTGGTCAAGGCCCTGTATGAATGTCATGTAATGTTGTTTCCACTTTGTGGACTGCAGTCCTAAACTCGTTTTAGCCCAGGCTATAGAATCTCACACTGTGTAGACAGCGTAAAAACCCGCATGGCCTCCACCTCCCCAATAACTTTTCTCCCACCTGGCAAAGACCCAGCTCAAAGCACTCCACCTGCGGCCAGCCTGAGCCACACCTGCCCAGGTGCTCAAGCGTCCCGGGCTTCGTCCTGCTGGACACGAAGGGCCCCTCTGTCCCAGGCCCCCCGGCTTCGTCCGGACTGGAGGATCCCCTCTGTCCCAGGCCCCCCGGCTTCGTCCGGACTGGAGGGCCCCCTCTGTCCCAGACCCCCCCCAGACCCCCGGCTTCGTCCGGACCGGAGGGGCCCCTCTGTCCCAGGCCCCCCGGCTTCGTCCGGACTGGAGGGACCCCTCTGTCCCAGACCCCCCTGGACCCCCGGCTTCGTCCGGACCGGAGGGGCCCCTCTGTCCCAGGCCCCCCGGCTTCGTCCGGACTGGAGGGACCCCTCTGTCCCCCGGCCTCGCCCGATGCCCGGGGCAGCTGCAGCCCGGCGGGAGCCCCTCTGTCCCAGGCCCCCCGGCTTCGTCCGGACTGGAGGGACCCCTCTGTCCCCCGGCCTCGCCCGATGCCCGGGGCAGCTGCAGCCCGGCGGGAGCGGAGGCCCGGTGCCCGCCCGCCAGCAGGCTCGAGCCGCGCCATACCTCGGTGAAGATGGACAGCCAGATTCGTGCGTTCTCGTCCTTATACACGCCCTTCTCCCAGATCCACAGGCGCTGCGGGGGCTCTATCACCTCAGCGTAGTACATGGCTCCTGGTCAGGGAGAGAAGCGGGGCAGCCAGGCTGGGCGGCGGGCGGGCAGGTGGCGGGTGCAGGGGCCGGCCGGGCTTTATAGCCCTCCAGTGCGCAGGCGCGCCCTCTGGCGGCGGGGTGGGAGGGGCCGAGCCGGGGTGGGCGGGGCGTGAGGTCGGATGCCCATGGAGGCGCCTAGGCTGGTGCGGGGCAGGTGGCAAGGTGTTGAGGGGGCGGAGTGCAGATCCAGTTCCTTCAGGCCTCTCCTCCCTCCCCACCCCCCCAGCCGGCCTTGCCCCAGGCGCTCCCGGCTCTTCTTTGGGCGGGAGGAGCCACCAACCCTCTGTGGGAGCTAGGCCTTACTTCCAAGCCGGCCACGCCCTGACCCGGGCTCTGGACTTCAGCGCTGTACCCACGGTGGATGCTAGGTACCCAGGAGCCAGGACACCTTCTGCACACCTTCTGGAAGAGACCTGAACCAGGCCTGGGTCTCCCTGCTTACTTCACGCCCCTGCCCTGTGCTTTTGGATAACAAAGGCAATATCCTTGGCAAAGTTCAACTCTTGAAGCAACGCCTCCATCTCCCACACACAAGACATGCATTTTCCAAGTCTTTGATGATGCTGTGGTCATCTTAAGAGTTGTTGTGAAAGAGGGTGTTGCGCTTTTCTCTTTATACTTGGAGTTTATTTAATATGAATGCTTCAAAAACAAACCCCTTCCGACTGGCCAAGATCAATGGGTTTGAAAATTCCCTAGGTTATACTCTCAAAACCATCTCTTTGTAAATTACAACAAATAGGCAAGACAGCTTCCCATTATTTTGCAGTAACGCATGCCTATTAAGGCAATTAGGAAAGTATAATGAGAAACATGTAAACCAGCCCCAGGCCTGTTGCTCAAATACCAGTACTGGTAGCAGTGCAGGGCTCACTTTCTAGTTCTTTCCCTTCTCTCTGAGGAGGGACAAGGACACAATTATTCTTTTTTTTGGGGGGGGGAGTCTTTGAAATGTCACCAGTGAAAATAAACAATTAGATGAGAATACCTGTTCTACCTGCCTGGGTTTCTGCCTCCAGACAGCCAAATTTGCCAAGACTTGCAAGACTTAGGATCAGTGGCTAATTGACTAAACCAGGTAAACAAATAGAAGATGAAGGAAAGCTGGGAGCTGAAGGCCAGGCCTTGAGTTCAGCAAGTCTCTTGTCCAATGCAGCGTCTAGTGAGTTTTTATTGTTTGTGTGCTGGTATTGTGTGAACTCAGGTGTTCATGCTCTTGCCTGGCTTTCCATCTCAAGACTGTCATTCTACCACTTGAGCCCCACCTACATTTCTGGCTTTTGGGTGGTTAATTGGAGAAAAGCATCTCTTGGATTTGTCTGCCTGGCCTAGCGTTGAACCAAGATCCTCAGATCTGTGCCTCCTGAGTAGCTGGGATTACAGCATTAGCCACCATAGCCCAGATATCTTATTAGTGTTTGTATTTAATATTTAAATATGTTGCTTCCAGTCTGGCTTTCCTGTGCTTGGCTTGGACACCAGATCCAGACAACCACAGAGGAGCACAAAAATCTTGAGAATCTGCTCTTTGGGATGTCTCAGCCAGTCCCGAGTTTGGAGGTAAGAAGCAACCATAAGTCCAGTTTAAACAGGTTGGTGATCGTCTTCTGTGACCAGGAGCCTATGTGGCTTGACCCAGCCATCCTGATGGCCCTAGAGCCCAGAATCCACTGATTTTGCCCATTTCCTTCACACTCACTTGGCTCTTCTAACAGGACGTGAGAATAGAAATAATGGAGGGCTGGGAAGGTGGCTCAGTGGTAGAGCGGTAGAGTGGTAGAATGGTAGAGCTCAGCCTTGCATGCCTGAGGCCCTGAGTACGATTCCTCAGCACCACATAAGCAAAAAGAAAAAAGCTGGAAGTGGCACTATGGCTCAAGTGGTAGAGCGCTAGCCTTGAGCTGAAGACCTGAGGGACAGCGCCCAGGCCCAGAGTTCAGGCCCCACAACCGGACCCCCCCCCAAAAAAAAAGAAAGCAAGAAATAATGGAGCAAAACATCAGCTGGGTCAGGTTTTAAATATTCTTGGAACATGATTACTGTTTTCCCCAGTTTGAAAATAAATTATCTTTCACTTTGCCTAAGGGCTTCTTAATATTGCACAAGAGAATATACCATTCTCCACATGGGATCCAGGAAGGTATTTCTGAAGGACTTCCAAAACATAAAAACAAAATAAGGACAGCAGGCAATTCACAGAGCAGCTTCTATGGGGGACCTTGACCCTTAATTATGAAGACAGCACAGGAGGGGGACAATAGGCATTGTATGGTCTCAGAGACCAACAGCTTGCCCCCTCCTCCTCCCCCTTATCTGCCTCATTTTAGCATTCTACTCACTGCCAGGCAGCCAGATTTTAGAATTATCCCTTGCTGAGGTTTTCCAACTCTGCCTAGTTCCCAGAGGGTGAGAAGTGCAAAGCAGTCTTCAGGGCAGACTCCCTAACTGATACTTTTATGCCCCACCTTCCATCTAGTGTTGACTTTCTCCTTAGCATCTGTGAACCAGGCAAATTGTTTGCCAGCTCTCCCTCAGGGGCACCCTCCCTCCCCCCTCCCTCCCCCCTCCTGTAATCAATGAGCAGACTTTCAGGTGCTCTGTTCCCACTTCTTGGGCAGGGGGTTGACCCTCTAGTACAGGTGTCTGGAGGGAGGAGGGGAGGGTTATAAGCTGAGAATCTAAGTTCAAAAAGCCTGTGGCTTTGAGCAGGGGGCCCTGGGTACCAAGAACTCCCGTGGGACAACCTCTTCAGGTGTGGGGAAGTTATTTGTCTTGTCTAGATTCCCCAGAAGGGAACGAAATGCATTTTTACAGCACCTATACAGCTCACAAAGACTGTAGGATCTAAGTTCTTCCTAGACCCCAGTGCAAACCTGCTGTATAACAGTCTTCCTCCCCCCAGGTGATGCGTGGGAATGACAGACTAAGCAGTCTACCAGGAGAGGCACACGAGGAGTCTCAGTGGTCTCTAGATGTTTCTATGACACAGAGTTGGACAGGTATATCAGTACTGTTTAGCTTTAGGTATGGTTGCTTTCTGCTAAAATCAGTTACAACACAAAATGTCCTCTTACAAGAAACTTCTGTTTATCAAGGTCATCCTAATTAACCCAGGTCAACAATAAAGAACCTACTAGAAGGTACTCAGGTGGGTAGGCCCCTGGGCCACTGAAAGCACCTGGGAAGTTTCACTGAAACATTGAGCCTGATCCCCATCTAAGCAGGTCACATTCTGAGACAGAAACTTGACCATTTCCTTCTTCTTTTTTTTTTTAAGGACTCTTCGGGTGATTCTACCATGAACTCAGGTAAGTGCCATTTGTAGAAGATTGAAGTTAACTGTTTTTGAGGTGTGAGCAAATTTCTAAAATTAAATAACCATGAAAATGTCAAAGCCACGCTCTGTACCATTAATTCTCATCATAACCCCCACCCTCAACCTCATACTTTACTTCTGTCCCTTTGTTCTATTTTAAATTTGCTGCTCCTATCTTTTGTGGGCAGAGAACCAGAACACCGGGTTTATTAGAACTGCGAGAGTCTGAAATTTCATCTTACTGTTGTGTAAAACACAAAAGCTATAGTACAGAGATGTTTGGAATCCATGCCGATGCCCTGGGTGGATTTTCTGGTCATACTTAATTCTGGGTCTTATTTTAGATACTTAAAACAGTTGATCAAGTGAGTTAGAAGTGAAAGGTAAAAAGATGTTATTTTTTAACTCATAAAGGATGAAATGATCCCCCTGGATGAAGGTATATTTGAGACAAAGACATTCCAGTTAGAATTCAGTAAATGATCTAGCATTACTACCACGTAGAGACCTCCCTTCTTTAAATAGAACACTCTACTGCTCTGAACAGTTTTAACTTCTAAATCCTTAAAGTGTATATGAGGATCATCTTAAAATGCAGATTCTAATTTTATAGTTGGGATGTGTGTTGTATGTGTGTGTGTGTGCATGCATGCATGTGAATGTACACACCTACACACACACCAATAACCAGGGCCTGGGTGTTATCCCTGAGCTTTTTCCCTCATGGCTGGCATTCTACCATTTGAACCACAGCTCCATGTCCAGTCTAATTGGAGATAAGAATTTCATGGACTTTCCTGACTAGGCTGGCTCCCAACCTTGATCCTTAGCTCTCAGCCTGCAGAGTTACTAGCTCACAGCTTCAGGATCTACATTTTTTTTTTTTTTTGGTCAGTCGTGGGTCTTGAACCCTGGGCCTGGGCACTGTCCCTCAGCTCTTCAGCTAAAGGCTAGCGCTCTACCACTTGAGCCATAGCACCACTTCTAGTTTTCTGCCGATTAACTGCAGATCAGAGTCTCTTGGACTTTCTTGCCCTGGCTGGCTTTGAACTATGATCCTCAGATCTCAGCCTCCTGAGTAGCTAGGATTACAGGCGTGAGCCACCGGTACCCAGCTAGGATCTACATTTTTAACAAGCATCTAGGTGAAGCTAATTCTAGTGATCTCTCTGAACCACTTCTAAACTGCAAGGTGCTCTACTGTTCTCCCCCCTTCTTTTACTACCCTCTTTACAAAATCAATTGTAACAGCAAAAGGCACCCAGTAGTTGCTGGTGAGTGAGCCCAGGGAGTAGACATATGGATACTTGTAATTACAGATGTGGCTCCCATTTGCCTACAGGCAAATCTATACATATAATCATATGAAAAACATTTCTCAGTAGTAGCTACTGTATATCCATTTGGTTCCTCTGGTTCCTCCCTAAATTCTGATTTAACTAGTGGCTTAATTTCCCCTCAGAAGAAACATTTTCAAGCATTGTATCTATTTCCTCTAGAAAAGTGGCTAGGCGGGGGGGCAGGCAGTGGCCAATGCCTGTAATTCTAGCTACTCAGGAGGCTGAGATCTGAGGATCACAGTTCAAAGCCATTCCAGGCAGGAAAATCTGTGAGACTGATCTCCAATTAACTGCCAGGAA